TTTTTTGCTTTTTGTTTGTTTATGTTTGTTTTCCGATGTCCTCTTAGTCGAAACGTGCACAAGAGCTTTGCTGGGGTCGTTGTCGCTAAATGCATCGGAAGCGCTACCTCTGTTATCTACACATATGTATTCACACATGCACATATAGCTTAAATATGACAGCCCTTTCATCACGTTTAGAATATGTCCGTATTTTGCATTACTTCTACAAGGAAATCCTCCCATTACCTCAGTCCATGTTTATCTCCCACTGTTCCTTGATTAAATATCATTATTGCTATCAGTTTGAGAGTATATCTTCGCCACTCACGAAATATAGGATAATTTATGGAAGGTACGTTTGATATTGGTGGAGTGCTGAGGGATTTACGGCTAACTTGGTTGTAACCTTTCAATCAATCAATACTCATTTCTCTTAGAGAAACATTCAGCTCTCACTCTACTCGAGTAAGTTCAACTACTTTGAAGCCAAGCTGTTATGGTTGCGTTTAAAGCATTCTTTCAGAATCTGTGATGGTTGACTTATTCCTGAAATCTTTGGTAGATTGTTCTTATTAATGTTTTTATTGGACGGCCTTTTCTTTTGTTGCTTGTATCTATATATACCAAATCGAGAGTCAATTTTGACCAACACTTGTTCGCGCGCTTTTCGTTTAAATATAAAGGTTTGAACCTCCTCAAAGGATCAATTTTTTTTACCGATGGCCCTCCCCTCTGAATGAGCCCCCTCCCCCCCTCCCCCAATAAAAAACGTACCATCCTCCACTAGTAACAAAATTAAGAGACCATTTTCCCTGTATTATTTAATCGTATTTTTTCACAAGCGAAAAGGATTAATAATATCGGCTATAATCAAAAGTGACCTTCTTCACGCGCCTGGTGCTTCAACACGATGAACGCGTTCATCGTTTGATCAGCTTACCTGATAGAAAGATTCCCACTGAATTATCTACTTGTTTTGCAAAATTCTTAATTTATTTCATTTGATTTGTCAAGACTTTTATTCAGCTAAACGAAAAGCGCGCGAACGAGTGTTAGTCAAAATTGACTCTCGATTTTGTCTCAAAAAGTAAATGAATGATAGTGATACTATCGGTAATGGTAATAGCGCTTGATACTGTCGGTGATTAAGGTGATGATATGATGATGATGATGGTGATGATGATGGTGAGGACGACGACAATGATGATTGGTAATGATTGATGATTATAGATGATGATGATGAATATGAGGATGATAATAATGATGATAATGATGATGATAATGATGACGACGATGATAGTGATAATGATGATGATGAATATGAGGATGATAATAATGATGATGATGATGATGAATATGAGGATGATAATAATGATGATGATGATAGTGATGATGATGATAGTGATGATGATGATAGTGATGATGATAATGATGGTGATTATGATAATGATGATAGGGATCTACTGCTGACTAAGATGGCATGTTTACGCTTCATGATCAGTCGGTTTCTGCTTTCCGTGTTTTTTTTAAATGTCTCGCAGTCTCCTTTCGGAAATCTCACCTATTATTTGATTTATTTCCATTAATCTTATTTCCTTAGTCAGGACTGGAGTTGTGAATCTAAGGCCCCGTCTACACTATGCCGGATAAATTTGAATCCGGAACTTTCACACCGAAACCGAAAAAAAAAGATTTCCGTCCACACATGAAAACGGATAAAATGTTTCGCGTCCTCACCAGTCCGACGAGAGGCGGCATTCTGAGCATGTGCATCGAAGCTTAAATTGAGCCCGCGATGAATTTTTAGCCTTCCCGCCATGTTTCCATGACAATCATGACGTCAACGTATTCGAAAAAATTCGTGATACGTAATGTTCTCCGTCCACACTAATACGGCTAGCCTGCTCTTTCAAATTGTTCCACTCTGGAGACCGTATTCGAAAAAAATCGTTTTCGGTGAAGAATTGTTCCGGATTCGCCCGGAATAGTGTGGACGGTCGGCCTAACCGAATAAATAAAAATTCGTATTCAAATCTATCCGGCATAGTGTGGACGGGGCCTAATATCCACTCTTGCAAAGTGTATTTGGTAATGTACAGAACATCTGCAGTGCGCTATGGTATCATATACTTGAGTGCAAACGATGTATCTGTGAAATAGCTCAAACACTAAGAAATAGCACTTAACACATATATTTTTTTGTTTGCAATTGTTTCATTAGTGCTATTTGTACTATTTAGTTAGTACTGTAATCTATATATAGTTTGCACTTAATTGTACAAACTATGATCCATATAGACGTGTGTTTAAGTTTGCATCTTTCATCTTAGCTACAGCTTTTTCTATTAGTACTATCTGTGGAGATCAGCAGTAGATGTTATAAATTAAGCTTATAAACTCAACGATGGTTTAAATATATACCAAGACGTATTTTCAATTTCATTTCCCCCTACAAATTTACTTCAAGTGCATAAAATATGGTTTAATGAAACAAAAGGTTTTTGGCGACTTTGCACTTCTTTTGTCTGGATGTTCTTCGACACCGTTGTGGGGGTCAAAGCGCAGTGTGTAGAGAATTACATCACAGTACTTATAGTATGATTAATGAGTGATGCACTCTTTAGCTGTATTGGTCTTGCCTGAGCATTCCATGGTCATATTCGTACGCAGAAGGGTGATTTAGGGAACATAGGGTGCCTTCGATCGTATTCAATTTTAACTTTAGTATGCTAGCTGCTCTGACCGATAGCATTGTGATTCATGTAGAGCTATTGAAAAAATTATTCCTTTTGGTATCTAGCTCTTATTTACGTAGATTCGCACACTTAAGACTAGAATCTTTTAATATCATGGGACAAAATTTGATCCTTATTCACACCATTCGGTGATGGCTTCTCTACACAGAAAGACACAACAGCACAAATTACCATCCACTTCATATGCATTATGACTTTTTTTTGCGCAAAAAGGGCGATTTTCTCGCAATCATGGTGTAAGCCTTACACCAAATTCAACAATTTTTTTTTGCAGTTTCAAGTATGTAAAGTTAAAACCATGTAATTTTGATTGTTTTTTTTAATATTTTCCTTCACGCGCCAATAAATTTATTACATTCTCAGTCCACTTGACTGGTTTTTCCAGATATATGGACTCACACACATGAAATATAGTATATGTCTCGCATTATGGTGCTAATGTTAGATTAATCCGGATAGAATTGCAGACATCGGGAAAGACTTCAGACATTGAATACTGATCTTTCTATGAAAATCGTATAAATGAAAAAGTGTTGTGCGAGATATTGAAGCAAGATAGAGACAAAAATTGTAAAGATTATTCTATTCACAAGTATAAGCCACACTGATTCCTACTAATCCGACTTTAAGTGTCGCGCTTTCTTAACTTGTAATACGCGTCTCAAACTAGATGAAATAACACGACAAAATTTACATCGAAAAAATGAAGGTCCATTTATCACCCCATTATCTACCCCCTTAATGATTTTTGCAGGTCGTTTGTTTATCGTCTTGCCCTGCTGTTTTCCGATTGCCAGTGAAATCACTAACAATTTCTCCTCTTTATGTTGCAGTTCAAGGTCCATGGACCGGCTTACAAGTCCGATATAAGTCTTTATCTCCGTAAGAAAATCCAGGTATAAAAGAGGTGTCTGTTCTTGAAAAGATTCGTTTGGACAACACATCTCTGCATCACCATGTCATTTCCTGGCGGCTACAACTCAACAACTCCTTTTGATAAAATGAACGATTCTGTTGCTTTGACTTTACGAGCCTCTCAAGGAGAAGTTGTAGTATCTTTGATATTTAATATAGCTCTAATGGCGACTGTGATTGCTGGCAATGGTTTGATTCTCAGCGCCTTTGCGATCAATAGTCGAATGAGAACTGTACATAGCATTCTGATCATTGGTCTATCGTCTGCAGACCTTTTAGTTGGCGCCATTTCAATTCCATGCTGGATCTACGTGATGTATCACCAACACAATAACTATCCCATAAACTTTTATGGCTATCAGTTTTACATAACTGCGGACATTTTTATTGGAGCTTCGTCGATCTTCCATTTAACAGGAATAAGCATCGAGCGCTGTCATGCTGTTATGAAGCCCATCATCCACAGATTGTTGTCAAGAAGGATCTTCTACTCCGCTTCAGCTGTGGCTTGGTTCTTCGCTGCAATCATTGCAATACTCCAACCTGTGCAGTTTCAAAACTGGGAAAAAGTCTACACCCTTTTGAATGCCAATCTTATCTTCTTTTTACCCACTGGCATCATCATAATCGCTTACATCTGTGTCTTCCAAAGGTCCAAATTTGGACCCGGAGTCTCTCTAACTCGACACCGAGCGAGCCGAGCAGTATTCGCAAGAGAAGTTCGCCTGTCGTTGACTCTTGGGTTAATCACAGTTCTGTTTGTGTTAGCGTGGTTGCCTTTATTCACGCTCACGATGATAGCAACCTTCAACCATAAACTTCTACCCGATTCGGTCATGATAACACAACGTCTTCTCGGATTTGTCAAGTGGATGCATTACTGCAGCAGTGCTCTTAACCCATTTCTCTATTCCTACAGAAACAATGACATGCGTGGCACTATCAAGCTGATTATCCAGAAGCACTTCTTCAGACAGAACATTTGCTTAGAAGAACTGTATCCTCGTCATCGTAGAAGAAGCACATTCTCTTCACGGTCAAGCTTCAGTGTGCACAAGAGACTAGTGACATCGAGCTTTAGGCCTGCGAGCGTTTCGTCTCAGTACTCTGTTTGCTCATTCCGTAGCAGAAACAAAAGTGAAGACGACGACAACAACAATAAAGGAAAAGGTAATAACGCTAGACATAATGGACAAGTGAAAGATGACCAGTCCGCTGCTTTAACCTCTTCTGGGCAATCCTAAGGGGCCAGTAACTGTTTAATAGAAAAAGCCGTGTCTCCGTAGTTTAGTCAGGGCGTGTTCACACTTATAGTGCTTGGACACTCGTGCTCTAACACAAGGTTCCAACCTTTTACTCTGGCACAGCACCCGTCCCTAAATTTTGGCGTAGGTATTTCAAAATTAGCTGAGTTTAGTCTAAAGCACCCTTGCTCGGGGTGTGATCACGCTCTGATCGGCTCGGACACTTAGTGTTCAAATACAAGACCCCAACTCACCCCGTCCCTGAATTCGAACACTGGAAGTTAGGTGAACTCACCTAATTTTCACCTTGAACTCACCTAATTTTTAACTTCTCAGTGTCAGTCAGGGACGGGTTGGAGCTCTTGCAATTGGCTTGTAAGGCATTRCAGAATTGTACTTGAGCACCAGGCTCTGGAACCAAGTATGAACGCACTCTAGTTCTCATCTTTGAAATGTGATACTCATAAGATCGAAAAAGCCTAGCAGGCAGAATTGAGTCTGCGCACTCGGCGTTTAAATATCGGTTTGCGTTGCAAGTGAACATCTGGCCTTATATAACGTGGCTTTTCATACAAAGTAAACACTTCTAAAGGGTCTAAATAGTGTCGAAGACTCTACTAGTATTATATTTCGAATAGACCTCTTTACCTTGGGCGTAATGTTTTCCCATTTTAGACCACGTGTCATTCCCTAGAGTATCATAGTTTGTTTGACGCTTGTGCATAAGAAGACACATGAATATGGATGCGACTTCACAATGAATTTTATTCTCAAGACCATGTTTCATTCCCTAGAGTATCATTTCTTTATTTAACGGTTGCGCACGAGGATACACATGAATATGGATGGGTACAACTCAAACGAGAAATCTTATTCTCGATAAAATGACGTGTCAGAAATGGGAAAACATTCGCTCGAGCCATTTACAAAAGGTCTAATCTCTGTTGCGCAAGGTTCATCTCGACTTTGTGTATAATATCCAAGGACGTGTCATTTATGACTATACTGACATTAATTTTTGGACGTGCCATGGGGCAAAGGATAAGTGTATTTATTGTGTGAAGGTGTTGGTCCAAGATGCACCTTGTTAAAAAAATCCAGGTGAACTAGTTGTTGAAATTTCAACATGTGTGGAATTCTAAATTATTTCTTCAGGAGCGTAGGGGAGAGAGAGGGGTTTCTTCGCTTTCGAAAATATTAATGATGAGCTGATCAACCCAGTATAAATCGATTCCCACCTAGATAAACGCAATATCCAATCTGGTATTAGGCAGTTTATAAATCCGAAGACATCCTTACTGAATGTATAGGTTTTTTCATGAAGATGCGACAAATATCGAAATTCATCTGACACGCTAATTTATCTCGGACGTGACGCATTTTCACCTAGCCGATAGGTATATGGTACTTTATAGTACGCACCTATTGTATATTAAGAAAGCTTTTTATAATAACTTACACTGTCTCGTATAACTGATTAGTTATTTTATGATCAATAAGAGGACAGACAGATAAAACTGAAGTCAAAGAGCGCGTACTCTATTCTTTGATTGATTTTATCACTAAAAGCGAGAGGTTTTTATCGTTTTTGTTATTGTAAAAAAAATCGACATCAGTTTTTTATGTCTGTCCTCTTATTGACGATAAATTTCGTCATCACATTGTCAAAGTAGTATGCGGACCCACACTTCTCATTGACAATGCGATGACGCAATTTATCGTCAATAACTTATAAGCAAATATTGTCAGCCACATTTCTGTGGCTTCTCCGGCTTAGTATGCCATATGCAACAAAACCTTTAACAAGGTCATGTCAGTTTCACAGTAATTCTATTATTGCGGTACATGAGGCATTTATTTTCGTACATTATATCAGATACATTATTTCTTAGGTCGCAGCAGAGCTTGCTTATGCCGACTCAATAAATGGTGTAGTACGTCATGGGTGAACACAAATAGTGTATCCTGGCTTCCATATATTCTTTGATGTGCTTGATTTGCGTAGCTTCCTTAGTTTACTATCAAGGAATTCACCTACATTTACTATGTTTTCCCTTCCTAGGCTAGTTTACTATCAAATGCTAAATGTTCATGAAAATTGCTTAATTTTCACCTTTCTTTGAAGTTTTCATGCTGATTATGATATTTTTGCTCACAACAACAATTTAAAACAAAATGGCTCATGAAATTTTAAGAAAGAAGTATTTTAGAAAGAATGTAATCTGACATCATGATTGGAATATTGCATCTATCTATAGGTACTATAGTACTCTACACCTATTGGATACATCATACTTGAATAAATAAACATGTTGGATGAACTTAAACAGCAGCAGCTAAGTTGACCTTCAGAGCAAAGTAAAAGTCAACCAATCAGAATTGAGGTTTCAACATGGTACTTTTGGTTATGACTCTGTCAAGAGAAACCTATGAAATATGAATTCCATTTTGATCAACGAGAGACATTTACATTGTACTCAGTCCCTGCTTGGAAAATACTAATCAAAAATAATTGACACAAGATTCCTTTTAGTGGAATGCAGTCAACCTAGCTGGGAGATTTCTTTTGTTTTAAAAAGGAAAATCTTTAGATTCTTGCACTTTACAACACTAGGATAGTTTTATGAAGATGCAGTATGCATCATTGATAGCCAATTCACCACTAAGATTGTACATGTAGTTTAAAAGCTCTGACATTAATATAATTTATAGGTACCATACTACACCACGAAACAATTAAGAGTAAATATTTTGTAGATGTAGAAATTTTGTCTAATTTATTAAGCAAGAAAATGAAGTTTTATGTCAAACAAGGAAGAAAATACAATTCAAAACTCTGGTGTGATATTTTGAGTTGTGTTATATTAAGTGTATTTCATGTGCATTTTATAGTTATTATTACATGTGCAAAACACTCCCCTATTTCTATCGATGTAGCAGAGGAATAACCAACCTGCTCCCCCCCAGACGCTCCAGATTAACATTGGTCACCTCCCCCTGAACACCCAAAGCCAAGCCTTCTGAATAACATTTGCCCTACAAGATTATTGGAACATAACACATTGTTAGTGTTGTTGTAGAACTAGATACTAGTGTTAATTATAGGCCAACAAGTATCCATGTAGCAGTATCAATGCATAAAGGTAACAGAGAATAGGCCTTTCTCTAATTCATGAGTGACAACCAAAGTCAATACTTGAATAAAAAAATAGTAAAAATACAGTAAATTTAGGTATAAGCACATTACATCCAACTGCTCAACTTGGACTGAGCCATTGTTTAGTGGTCACTCAAGTGAAAGGTCTATTACGTTTGAAGAAAGGCTCCTTACAGACCCCACTTCCATGAGCATATTTTACCATTCAATTCTTTTTCATTTATCATTTTCCTTGTACTTCATGCAATGCTTTCAAAGCTTCAGCACAGGATTTTAAGAGTTCGCAATAACGAATGGACTCCTCCACAGAGAAGCAGTTCCGTAAAGCTTCACTTGTTGTTACTATCTTGTCATTCAAGTTAGTAACTGCAGTACTGACAGACTCTGAAGATGAGGGAACCCTTGGTGCTTGATCTCTGCTTGTTTCCTCTTGTATTATACTATATCCATTTGTGTTTGTAGCAACTTGGCAACTTTGCTCAGAATGGTCAACTGCATTTCGTGAAGCTACAAAATTAAGACATTTTATAAGAAATAGAATACAGTAGCTTTTTACATACTCCATTAATCAGCAGAGTGCAAACGATGTATATAGCTGTGAAATAGCACAAAAACTAAATATACTCATAGTTAATTTGTCTTCTTTTTGCAAAACTGCAACTTACTATATTAGCTAACTGATCACTTTAGCCTAATGGTTATTTCAGCTCCTGCTAAATTAAGTTGTTTTATCACCCTGTAAACTAGTCTGCAAATTTTAGTACTAAATTTTTTCATTGTCCTTGACATTGTTAAAGACAGGCAGACAGACAAAATGACAAAGATGGAACTACATTGTACAGACGTACAGATAAAGGTACAGACAAAGAGATAAAGAGACAGATAGACAGACAGACAGACAGAACAGATAACTCACCACTTTGAGGCTTAGTTGTTGTATCGGCATCAACTTCATTACATCCCACACAGTAATCAGGTTCATCACGAAACTTCAGCAATACAGTCTAGAAATCCATAATATATCAAAAAATATACTACTCACAAAATGGCAAATATGTGTATCTTCATAAAATATAGTTCCCTAATTTTAAACACAGGATATCTCAAACTTCCCCGTTATCTTAAATTTGAGGCTTGAGGACACATCCTGTGGACTTATTCATGTTACGAGTCAATTCCAAAGGTGCCCATCCCACCCCCAGGCATTTTTTTGGGGGGAGGGGATGGGCACCTTTGGAATTGACTCGTACATACATTACATCTATTATGTTAACAAAATATGAGACTTACACCACATGTATCACAGCATGTCCCCAGCATACGGTACCCCTTAAGCAAGTATTGGCCCATCAGTGAACTTATCTTGTCTGTGCGCTCACGTAGTCTATTGTATCGTTCCCTGTCCATCTTATCACCCATCACAATTAATACTCTGGCTGACATCAACAAACAAAACACATCACTGATGAATTCGAATGTTGGGACATAGTCAATATGGTTGGGAACACCTTGTACATAGATGTACATTTACCTTATTTCGCTGTCATTTACAGCACGATGTAAAGAAGGAAAAGGTAACGGGTTTATGGCAAGTAAATTAAGTGGATCTACCATTTACAATGCTAGTTTAAGCTAGGTTTTCCTAAAGCTTTATAAATGTAGAAAATGCAATACAACATGAAATCGTTTTGCCCAGCTGTTTTGACAAAGAAAAATTAGTCCGATCTTCCATATATTAAATCAACGATGTTAATAAAAGCACAATATTCAAATTTCCTTGATCTAAAGACAGAAAAAACCGAAAAAAAAATCATTCAAAATATCAAAATACTAACCTTATGTTTCTGTACCTCGAATTCAGCTGATAATTACAATCAACGTCCCACGTGGTTACAGTATAACTTGACCTATCAACCAATCAGAAGGCTCGTTATATCAAGCGCGGTCATACTGAAAAATGGCGGACGAATGTGCATTTTGAGACTTCTCAAATATTCTTCAACATTTTTTCTCATTTAAGCGCTTTGAAGGAATAATAAAGTCACCATAACCATGTCTTCTCCATGGACAAAGTATCCAGTAAACAAAAGTGTTGGTAGGAATGTTGATGGGACGCCAACAACTCCAAGACAGACCTTGAACTACAGCTCATTCTTAGATTCGTCCATGACAGGAAGGTAACAAAAACTGAATATATATTAAAACCACGCTGTACGTTTTACCTGAGGCTGTAGGTGTCGTAAAGCAAGGTAAATTGTGCTCGTTTTGGTTTGTTTAGGAGCCAAGGACGCTCGTCCGTTGCTGGAAAATTGTTAGAAGAAACGCCGTATCACAGAGTTGAGACGTTTGGGCTGACTATTCCTGTACAAATAAGAGAAGCTTTGGCCTTAAAAAGTAAGCCAGGAATTTTTATGGAATTTGGTTTTAGCATGAATTGTTTTGTTTTGTAGAAGAAATAAAGTGAATATTGATTCTGAAGTTTCCAAATGGTTGTGTCTAGATGGGATACTCACACTCCAATTGAGTCACCTATCACCTGGATTGCGAGTATCCCATCTAGATACAACCCTCTCTCAATCACCTGGACTGTGAGTATCCCATCTAGACACAACTCTCTCTCAATCACCTGGACTGCAAGTATCCCAACTAGACACAACTCTCTCTCAATCACCTGGACTACGAGTATCCCAAATAGACACAACCTTACCAAAATGTCCACACATTACACATAGAACTAATGGGCTCCCTGTGGTTTTCTTGGAGTACAACCCCTTGATTCAAAATACCTATATGTTGGTTGATGTAACAAAAGAAGCTAATGAGGAATGCTACTGTATGTCATCATCAACCCACTCTCAATTATGATTGGTTGACCTTTAGTTTGTTCTTAAGTTCAACTCAACTGGAGATGTGGTTGTAAAGATTATAATTTGATGGATTATTATTATTATTATTATTTGTTAGACAAATCCTCCGTATTGCAGTATACAAATGTCAAGCTACATGAGTCAGGATGGGCATGGTTGGTATCTGGTAGGAAGCTGTATGTTTGGAGGTTCATACCATCACCAGGGTCTAAGGTAATCTATTTAGAAAGGCCCACCCCCACCCTTCACCCCCACCCCTCATCCCACCCCTGACCCTGCCCGGTTCCAATTTAGTTGAATGATGCTAGACCCTCCCACACCCAAGAAGTTTCAGAAAGTTTCTAGAATGTAACTTGCTTAGACCTAAGGGACAAGGCCAAAACAGTGGTCCCACAGAGGGTAGAGATTTTATTGATTTATGTTGTAAATACCAGTAAATACCCTCTTCCTCAGAGACCTGTTGAAATGCTCAGTACTGGATGTCACAAGCCATTACTTCTATAAATTTTCAAAGTAAAATAAAAAATAAATATCAGTTGATGAACTATTCTCTGCCACCTTAGAGTCTTTACTGCAAAGAGCTGTTACTTCCCCCAACAAACCTGTACCACTCAGCAAATCTTGTAACCATCCTTCCCAGCACATGGGGTGCTGACATCAATAACCCTGGGTCTGCAGCCATTATGATGGTCTCACCAGAGGGTGTGGTCAGATATTGGCCCAGTCTGGCACATGACAGCAATTCCATTGAAGTAAACACTGAGCTGTCTGGACATCCCTGTCACTCGCTCACTCCATTCCAGGTAATGGTTTACTGCATACAAACTACTGTATATTCTAATGTAAAGTATCTTTTGGCTGCCACAGAGAACCCACTTATCTGTTTTGGATGTAGCTGTGAGTATTTACATCATCTCTTACAAAATCTAGACTGCTTTTTTAAGTCAGTTCCAGCTCGCTCTCTGTGGAACCCCCCCTCCCCCCCTCATTGAGTGACAACACAAAGAAGTGAAAAGTATGTGATTGTACCACTGTTTGTACCACTTATGGAATTAGTCTATGAAAAATCCTGTTCTTTTGTGTTTTTTCCAGCCATGTGGTTGTGTTTTGATGACAACTACCAATGAACTAATGCTGCTAATGCCATCTCAAGTAAGATTTAAGATGAAATATTGGAAAAATTTAATCTATGTACAAAAATTAAAAATTGAATCTTACAATTTTTAGTGATGACCCTCTACTAGCCCCTCTGATAAAGAAACATACCTTTCCTAAACACTTAATATTGCTCACCTAGAGAATCATTCTATGCTATGGTTATGTAATATCGATACAACTCAAACAAAGTTCTTAATCTCAAGAGGAAGACAATGGTCTGAAATGGGAAAACATTACATCTCTCAATAGTACAACCTGCTGATAATATTATTTAATTCTGTTCTAGAAATCTATCATGATCCACCCATTAAAGGTATCAGGTGGAGTGTTTTCTATTCTTGGCAGAAGAGTATCATCTTTGATATTTGGATCACAACAAGCCGCTGAACAAACAACTGTAAGTGGACTAGATAAGCAGTGAGCTACATCACATCACAACGGAAAATCGAAATACTCCTAAATGGAAAATTCTAACTAGCTCATTTGAAAGAACTGCACATGAGGAGTTCAAAAATGCAAAATTTGTTCATTTCTAATATGGGAACCAAAAGATATGATTTTTTGAATGTTCATGAAGCCGCCATTTTGTTACTATTTTTAGAATGTGCAGTTCTTTCAAATGTGCAGTTCTTTCAAATGCGCTAGTTAGAATTTTCTAATGAGAAGTATTTCGATTTTCTGCTAAAATTGATGACGTCATTTTCCCGCCAAAAATGTCGAAATTTAAAAAACTAAAACGACAGAGTTGTGAGATTTGTTAGGCTCTTTAACGTTACCAAGTTTCAAGAAATTTTAATGGAACACACAAAACGTTTTGCCTAAATGAAACATTTTTAGCCCTTCTAGCCCGACGTGCATGTACAGTTTCATTTGTAATCTATTCAATCTAATTTTAATGACTGGATCCAGCCAACTGAAGTCCAGTCCATTCCATCTACGTATGGTTCTGGATTTTCCAAAATTAAAAATCACTCAAAATTTGAGCTTTTAGAATAGGAAAACAACTTTTAGAAGTTGGGCATGTTTTTACTAAACATTAAGATTATCCATGGCCTTTCAAAAGGTGAAAATTCAAAAATTCATTTTGTGTGATTGAAGATCCAGTCACTTGCAATCTATTTCAGTCACAACCAATCCATTCCAGTCACATCCAAGTAACATCCAATTTATCTTAATAGGATCTTAATGAAGTAAAATTAGTCGCAAAGATCTAAACATCTACAGAGTTACCTATAGAAACAAGATGTGTACAGTCCTTTGAAAAAGTTTTTTCCTGGCTGTCTTCACAGGACTTCAACCAGTGCCTCAATCAAAAAAAAAATTTTTTTTTCTATTTTTTTTGGAACATTTAAGAATAGAATCACTAGTTATGAATACTAAAATGAAAATGATTGGATAAAAGCTGCAAATTGGGCGTAAAAATAGAGTATGCGTTCCGTACGATCCAGCCAACCGAAGTCCAGTCCATTCCATGTACGTGCGGTTCCAAATTTTTCAAAATGAAAAAACACTCAAAATTCGGGCTTTTACAAGAGGAAAACAAGTTTTAGAAGTTGGGCATGTTTTTACAAAACATTAAGATTATC